CTATTATTAAAATATGAATGTCGTTTTACTTAATTTTACAGCCAGCAGAGCTCTCTGACAAAACATTTTCCCCTTTTACATTTTCAGATGTCAAATACAAAGGATTCTGCTGGGGTGTTAAACTAACTGATGTGCAGTGACCGATAAATCCTAACTTTATAATAAGTGCAAATCGTTCCAACTTTTCTTTGTAGTCACTCCATTAACAGGAATCCCAATGGATTCCTTTGGTATTCACATGCATATCAGAACTAATTCTCTGGGAATTTCAGGGCAATTCATCACTTTGCTCTGTGTTTTATGATGCCAAAACATGTTGCTTGCATACATTATAAGATGGAAATTTAGGAACATACTTGACAACTGAAAATAGAAATCTGAGATTACTTCTGTTTTCATTAGAATGTTTTATTGAATCTTCATTTTATGTTTAACGCTTTATAAATAGTGGGTTGTTTACTTTCCTGGCTATCAAACTATTTTATGGAAAGGTCTCAGGCAGTAGTGAAGTCTTGGGAGAAAAATGTTGTAACTTTTTACAAATAAAGCGTTTGGGGAATGGTATTTCTACTCAACATTTATGTTGCTTACAATTTTTTTTTCCACCAGAGAAGATCTGTGGGATTATGTAGCTGGAACATTGCAGTTTATATGGGAATAAACACAACTGGTGTAAAGTACTCTTCATGCTAGGAGTTTGTTTAGCTGTTAGATTTGTGACAAAATGAGAGTTTACTATGAGGTCTTGGTTTTAAAAATGTTACTGACCTAAAGCAGTTAAGCACATTTTAGAGGCTACTGAATTACAGATATATCAGTAAGAACAAATTTAAAAGCTCTGTCCTTTTCCATTACTCACAGAAGCTGTTTCAAATATCTGACCCATCTATGTCAAAACGGGACATAGTGGTACGTAACTGAAGGCTTATTATAAATTGCATTGGCTTATTATTTTTGGTACCAAATAACTGTGTGCTTTTTCTTACCTGTGAAACTAAAATGGCAGTCCACGTTTGTCTAAAACTATGAAAATTAGCACTGGCTCTTATTCTTTATGCATCAGAGAGAAATATTTCTAAAATACCGTTAGTTATGAATGCTTTTATTTTTCTGTTAATAATTCTAGGGATTTTTAAAAAACATTTCAGAACAATTCCTTTGACTCTCTTTGTAAAGGAATGAATGACTAAGCTAAAGTTTTGTGTATGAATATTTTTTTAATACTCAAAACCAAAATAGAAATACAAAGCACACTGCTGGTGATTTTGTGTGAGACAGTTTAGAATTATTTGGAGAAGTTGGGGGGTCAGTTTAATGAATAGACAGACAAAATGCCATAGCTCTAAATTCATCTCCTGATTAGTTATACTTGTGGTTTGATGATATCTAAAGTAGGTTCTCTTGGCCATTACTAGTGCAGTAGAAAAATGAAACGTCTTTTTTTTTTTTAAGTTTTGCCATATTTTTAGTAGTACTTGAAGAATAAAGGTGGAGACTGGAGATAACTATATGTAGGGATGAAATATGAGGTCATATAAATCAGGTATAAAATACTTTGTTATGATATTATTTACTTACATGGAACAGGAATGGATGCTGCGGGTTGTGAAATACTTGGTGTCTTTGGCTTGGGTTGATTTGTCTTTCTCAATTTCTTTTGACTAAAGCAATGCTTTCTGTATGCCCACATGCATAAATTCAGTAGCTCTTGGCCGCAGACAAGATCATTCAATTGACACTACAACTTTCTGGTGAGTTGAGGTGCAAATGCAAATGTTTGTATTTTTGTTCCAATTTTTCAAGGCTAGAGGCTTCAAACCCCAAAGCTGTTCACATCTAGTTAGAGAGTTGCATGCTACATTTGTAGAGTGGCAGCCACGTAAAGCTGTAGCTGCCCTCGCTCTGGTAACCCAGCAGAAGTGCGTGGCAGGGCTGCAATGAGTATGTGTTTCAGTTATTAGTTCTCATCTCTAAGATCTCCTGGGATTTTGTTCTGTTCCTTCATATTTTTTGGACATTAAGTTTTCCCACAGGACTAGCTTTCCCCAGAGAGCTGGCATGGGCTGTATTTGGAGCATAAACCCTGATGGAAGTCCCAAGCACTGCCAACAATCCCGCCTGTCAGTCAGTCAGGCAGGCTGCTGCCTGAAGCTATGCTCCTCTGGACACTGCAGCACTGGCAGACTGGGTCACTTGTGAATAGGCCTTTCTTTGCAGCCACGTGCTCGCTGGCGGTGGGGCCACCCGCGTTCTGCGGGCTTTAACTGGGGGGCTGCTATCGAGCTAATTTTGCTCTAGGGACAGTCGCAAGCCTTTAAGCCTTTTAGAGATTACCTTTAAAAATAGCACAGTGAACTGCACACCAACACAAGTGAAAAATGAGCACTTGTTCAGCTTTGTTTGATCTGTTGGCAGTGCCATTGCTATCCTGCAAATGGTCTGTGACCACGTGTCTGAGGATTTGCGGGAAGGTGTGGGGTGGAGCGCTGGAGTGTGCTGTGATTCTTAGCTCTGCCTGGCTCTCACTTAAGCAGAAGTTCACCTGATATGTTTGGATTTGGAGTATTTCACTCAATTCAGAGTCATAAATTTACTTCACAAGTTACACCCATTTTGGAGCCTTTGTGAAATTTAAGGGTTTCCAGAACTGAGAAAGGCAATGGACTAGTAAATAGGCAACTTTCATATTGTTCTAATAAAATTATGCTTTCCTGTGGTGCCCTTCTATCATTACTGTTTCCACCTCCTGTACTCTTAACTGATAAAGCTTATCAAGGAATAAACAGACTCTGGCTGGGGAAGATACTCCAAAGTGGGAATTTTTGGTAAGCCTTATAGAGGACTGTTTGTTATGATGGAGTGGCTGGGATTCAGATGTCACATGATGTCTTTGGAAGTCATACAGGTTTTCTTATTGCCCACAGAAGTGAGCAAATGAAGGTTAAGTTTTGGGGTTGCTTTTTCAGTTTGGTGTTTATTTTTTTCCCCCAGCAGTGCAGCCCTAGTTATTCGTTTTGAGTGTGCAAACATTATGAAAGCAGCTCGTAGTGCACATGGGATGAGTAAGCATGCCCTCAGCCACTGTAAGAGTGTGCAGCTGCACAGGGACATGCATGGAACTTGTGGTACAGACAGAGTCCAAGTTTCTTCTCTCTTGTTGGGAAGTGATGGATAGCAAGGCAGCAGTTGGAGGAAGACGTATTCTTGCTGCCTGCTGTGAGCAGGTAGCACTACTGCTCCAGTAGAAAGGCAGGGTAGCACTGTCATATTCTCAAAGATGCTGTTGTTTTGTTCTTTTAAACTGTACATTTGCTTAGAAGCATAGAAAGTTGTTTGTCCAAAGTCTGAAGATCTCAGAAATGTGCTTGTGTAAGGACCCCAGTCTTTTAATGTGTGAAACATCTCCTGTGTGAGATCTTTGGCAGGTTGATAGATGGGAAAGACAGTAAAAAAATACATAGGTATGTAGGGGGGAGAGAAATGTAGATATATATTTAATATAGTTATTTTGCTTCTGCTGCTCCATGCGATATGCGGGTTGTTTTCCACCTGTACTGAACACAGTAGTTTTGAGAAAATGCAAGCTGTTCTGAATTTTGGCAGTGTGAGCTCTACAAAACTTTCTGGAGGATTGGAGATAGCTGTTGCACATGTGCAATTGCACTTTAAAAAAATAGAAAATGAGTTTCACAGACTCTGAAATTTGATAGGCTTTCACTTTGATTTAAACTGGCATGTTTTTTCCAATTCCCTGGAAGTGATACTTCATTTGAACATATCTACCTCTTCAATATATTCCAAAACCCTGAGGGCGGGACCACATACTTATTTCCAAATGGCAACATCTTCAGTAAGGTGTAGTTACTAATTAAAAGTTCCTCCTAGCTCCTATGCTAAAACTCTACCTTGCAATTTATGTATATTATTAGCATAATTATTTTTAAATTATTTCTCTATTGCTTAGTTTTATCTTAATAATTGAGATATAATTTTATATTTATACATGTGCATCTATTAACAGCAGCAATGAAATAACATTCTGCAATGTATTCTTGTTCTTCTCAGAATAGGCACAAAGCGTAGACTGCTACCTTTTAAAGAATGTATACAGTAACATACAGGCCTTCATAAATTAGATATATAGGAAAACAAAATTACTCCATCCCATCTTTTAGACCTGTTTTAAGTGTGTGCATATTGTACCTGCCAAGTCCCTCACCTCACAGATATGGCATACGTATCTGTATCTGAAGCTTAGAAGAATTTCTCATGTCACTTAAAACCCAGCCTGTTTTTTGTTTTCTTCTTATTTTCTTTATTCATCACTTTAAAAGTATGAACCTGGATGTAATTACCAGATAATTACAATTAGATTTTTGGCTTTAGCCATTTTATTAGCAGTGTAGCAATCCTGCCCTGCAAAGCAGACATTTGAGACTCAGCAAACTGTATTTCCACCTCCAGCATATCTTAAAAGACCGACTGGCAGAGTGTCTTTGTGAGTGACATTGTTTGCTGTCTAGCTGATTTGGCTTATAAGCAAGAAGTTTAATATTTTTAGTTGCTGTAAGTTATTGTCAAGGAAAGCAGGACTACTCCCAAATAAATAGGGTCAGTGAGGCACATGTACTGACTGGTTACTGGAGGAGTGGGCAGCTGCTTGGGAGAACCAGGTGAAATATGAGTATATGTTGGTGGGAGGGAATTGAGGCAGATAGTGCCTAAGGATATGTTGTTCCACTGCTCTGCATTGCTGTCCCTGCCTTCTCTCTCTGTAGGAATTAACAAGGTCCCACCTGTTTTGTGAGGAGCTACTGTGGTACTGCAGTTCCCAACTGATTTTTTGCTTAGTGTGCTCTGGACTAGGGGTGGAGAGGATGACCTGAGCACTATGTGCTGGATGTGCTTCAGGGAGGGGGTTTCCTTCAGGGTTATGCTGTTACCTTTAAATTAAATTAAAACTGATTAACCTGTTTTCTTTTTCTTTGTCTCCACCGTAGGATGGATCACTGGGAAATATTGATGATCTGGCACAGCAGTATGCAGACTACTATAACACCTGCTTCACAGATGTATGTGAGAGGATGGAAGAGCTGCGCAAGCGGAGGGTCTCCCAAGACCTTGATTTGGTATGTAGAGAAGTTACGACTTTATTAACAAATGATTGCCATTCATGCTCCAGATGAAGAATCAGTATTTCAGCTTGTTGAGTTCTATACAGGGAAATAACTATATGCGCTTACGTTCATCAACACAAATGTTTCAACCAAGTCAATTAAACACTTGGAAATTAGCTGGATTAGTTTTTTTCTTGGTATTTTTTATGATTCATTAAACCTTGAAGTCTGCACTTCTTATTTCTTCTTTAATTAGAGTACTTCTTACCTGTGCACATTTGCTTGCAAACCTCAACTCTCAGAGGCAACGTAGTGTCTGACGAAAACATTGTGTTATTGCTCCAAGATGCCCCCAGTGTGAGCACAATGAAACTGTGTGCTGTTTTTCAGTTGCACTGTACAAACCGTAAAGTAGTGCCTCTCAGAAGTCCAAGGTGCAAATACCGGTTCCAGGCTCCCAAATGTAACCAGCCTCAATCCTGTGAACTCTTTTCCATTATTATGCATTATAGAACCTGTAGCAGGAGACATTGAATCACAGAGCCCTTCAGGATGGAAAGGACATCAGGAGGTCTATAATCCATCCTTCAGCTCAAAGCAGTGTCAACACTGAATTCAAACTGGGTTGGTCAGGGTTTTATCTGATTGAGTTTGAAGACCTCCAATGATGGAGGCTTTGCAGCCTCTCTGAGCAGCCTGTTATACTGCTTCGCTGTCTTCATAGTGAACTTTTATTTTTTCCTGATGTTCCATGAGGTACTCCCTATGCCAGTTTATGCCTGTTGTCTCCTGTTCTTGTGTCATGCACCTTTTTGATAACCTCCCCATAGGTACCAGCAGGCTGACAGTAAATCTTGAAACTGACTTTTCTGACAGCTGAATCTTCCAGCTCTTCTTGGAGTGCAAGGGCTCAAGTCCTTGATAGCACCTTTGTAACCATTTCCTGGACTTGTTCAAGTTTATTAATGCCCACCTAGCATGCAGGACTGCAGTGTCAGAGCTGATGATATAAGAATGGCCTGCCATGTGCCAGGGAAGAATTGCTTCCTATGATCTCCTGGCTATGCTGCTATTGACACAGTATGGAGTGCTGCTGGCTGTTATTGCTGCCTGGACATACTGCTGGCTTGTGTTAAGCCTACTGTCACATGGTCTTTTCTGCAGAGCGGGCTGACCGAGCCAGTCGGTTGCAAGCCTGTGCCGGTGCATGGGCTTGCTCCTCCTCAGGAGCAGGACTTGGCATTTGTCCAAGTTGAATTTTGTGAGGTTCCTGCCAAGCCCTTCTGAATGGTAACCATATTGATGTGAGGAAGAACTACTTTACTGTGGGAGTTACTGAGCACTGGAGCAGGCTGCCCCGAGAGGTTGTGGTGTCTCCTTCTCTGGAGATACTCAAAAGCCATCTTGGATATAATCCTAAGTAATTTGTTCTAGGATGACCCTGCTTGAGCTGGGAGGTTGGATGAGATGACCCCCAGTGGTCCCTTCCAACCTAACCCATTCTGTGATTCTGTGACTGCACCTGAGGGAGGCTTCATCATCCGTTACCTTGATGGGTTTGCCCTCTATTTTCTCCTTGGGTATCTAACAGAATAGGTCCCTGCACTACTATGCTTGTAACTGGCCTCCAAGTACAGCACTATTCTCCTGACCCAACTAGTCGGTTTTTCACCCATTCAGTCTCTGGGGACTCTCACTTCAGCTGAAACTAATCCATATGTAGGTCATCTCATACCTCGTTTTTCTTAGGTTTAAGGAACCTCTTAGGACATATCACAAATATATTATGGGTTTTCGCTTTTTGGACAATTTCCTTACTCTACTGTAACATCAGTAAATGTTTGTCACTATTTATGGTATGTACGTAGGTATGTATTGCTGGTTGCTGTGCTTTTTTCATTGTGAATGTCTTTGTTAGTTTTTGTACCATTCCTAAAGATCATCTGTGGCAGAGAAAAAAAGTTTTCTGGTCTGTTTTGTCAGGTTTTCACTGTTAAGTTTGTTTCCCAACAGAATAGTATGTCTTTACATACAAACTTAAATGCTTCCTTCAAATCTTGTCTCACAAAGAACAGGTCACTGAAGGCTTTTTTTTTGGTTGGTTGGTTTTTTTTTACTTATGGTTTTGCTGTGATGGTGACTTATATAACACAGACAGAAACTCTTAACCAAAGTTTAGTTTGTACCTCTACTGAGGCACAGCAGCACTGTGGCAGAGCCAGAATGGGATCTGATAACAATTCTGCAGTTCCTTTACCAGGTCAAATCCTTTAAAACAAATTTGAGAGCTGAGGTTGTGTGATTGTATCTTCTGCCTTTGCTTCCCCAGATGACAGAACTGAGTTGCACCAGGGAGTGGTTTGATTCCTTTTTCTAGCAGCTGTATCTGACGGTGTGAATTACTTAAGGCTACTTGCTTTCTTCTTGGGATTCCAGTATAACAACTGAGAAGCTCTAGAGCTTGTACAGACTACAAAAATCAGTTACACAAGGAATAGCTGCGTGATCAAGGCAGAGAGAGTCATCTCTTCTGCTCCACTGCACTTAGTTCCTTCTTTAGTTTTAAATGAAAAAAAAAATGAAATGTATTTTTCAGATCTGTTGGTACCAAAAAGTTCCAAGGGTTAAAAAAGGTTATTGCAGGAAATCCTTTTGTAGACAGACCCTTGAGGCTTCTGTGCAGAGAAGCTGATGGCACAGAACTATGGTTCTTATGAAAACCCCCACGCTTAGCAGGCCTGATGTTCTGGGTAGCTGTTGGCAGCTTTTTTCTTCCAAGAGCACCCCTTTCCTGGTGCTCTTGGAAGGCAGCTCCTGTGCTGAGTAATGAAGTGTGCCTTATGACAGGAGAGGACTCCCTTCCATTTAGACAGATGGGCCTAATTTGCTCCCTTCACTTCTGAAGCTGCAGAAGCCAGGCTGGAGAAAGCCATGTGACTTTAATTAACTCACATCAAAGGTGTGGATCTTCACGCTGGTTTAAATAGATGTGAGCTAACCCAAGACAGACCAGCAAGTGATTCATTCTACTCAAGAGAAGCTGTAGTCAGAGAAAATGACCGTGTGAAAAGACATCCTGGGGATTCCTTTTCTGGGTCTCTGATACTGAGTTTCCTCACTCTAGTCATCCAGTGATGACTTCTTGAACTGTCAGGTCAGAGAGAAGATATTGCAATTGAAAATTAAATTATTGCTCAATTTTTACTACATCTGTCACTCCTATAATGCAGTTTCTGGACATAAGATAGACATTCTGCTGATAACGTGAGACTATAGATTATTAGCTCACTTGCACAACAGCATCCGAACAGCACTGACTGCAGCTGAAACTTGCTCTCATAAATAAGTAGGCAGGCTTGACTTAGTTGCACAAGGAGGGGAAAATGGCCATGTAGACTAGAATGCATTTTCAGTGTGATAGAGTAGTATGCCTGTTTATAATCTGCTGTAGAAACAGAAGCTGGTCTAACAGCAGAGCTGCTGAAGTGACTGCAGAAGTACTAGCGTGAAAAGATAGAACAGAAGAGCGACTCTTTTGCTGTGATGTTTTTCCTTTCTTTACGTTTGTTAATATGTTTGTTAATATGTTTTTATCTTTCTTCTTGACAAAAGATAGTGTATTGGCAGAGATTTTGGGATAGTGAATGCTGGGGGAAATGCCAGCTTCACAGCATATCCCAGATGTGCTATGATAGCAAAAAAATATGCACCAGATAGCAAATATGTGCAACCCCAAAATTATTTTGCACCAGTATTATTGGGCTCTTGGTCTAGCCTGACTTTGCTCGGCCATACATTGCTCTTCTAGAAAGGGTGAGGAGCAGCAGTGGGATTGTGCTAGAGCTGGAGGTGGGCAGTGTATCAGCTCTTCCTCCCCACCTCAATGGTCTTCTTACTCTCTTTAGCAAAGTGAAGAGAGCAGAGCTGATCTGCATTGAGTGTTAGTGCAAATTTTCAGGGGTTTACTGGGGTCAGGGTTACTGAATCAGTATGAAAATGCAGTAGGAGTGCGTAATAATATATGGCAGAAGCATAAAAGACAAAAGTTAGATTGCTGCTTTTACTGAATGCTCTGAACAAAGAGAAAGAGCAGGTCACCCCAGGGGTGGAAGCGTCCTCTAAACCCTGCACAGAGAGGCTGCGTCAGAAGGAGCAGTGTAATAACAAAGACATGTCTGAGCTGGCAGAGCTTTGCCAGGAACATGTATTTAGCACCGGCTCGCCCAGATTGCCCTTTGTAGTACGTTCACTGGAAGGATAGAAATATGAACTGTTTATTGCTGCTTCTGTACACTTTGAAATAGCTTTAAGCTGTTTGGGAGCAAGTGTTGATATCTTGATTGTATATTGTACTTTCTAATCAGTTCTCCAACCTTTCCTATTAGACCATGGTAATTTCAGTGCAGATACCCTGCTCTGAAGTTGAATTTTTTAAAAAATTACTTGGTAAAATTGTTTGGGAGAGCAGCATATCTTGTAACAAAACAATGGGTGTAGGTGGAGCTGAACACAGAGTATTTTTCCAAATGGTAGTGCTGTCAAGGATTGTTAGTTGTCCCTAAAAAAGATAACTGCTTTTTGTGTTTGGAATTTTGCCTGTGTTTTTGTAATGAAGAATGTGCTTGGTTTTGGACATTAATGGTTGTGAACAGCATGGGAGTTGCCCACATTTCCTAGCATTTTGCCTATTCCTGTATACCATGTGGGTTTTTGGCCTGGGTAAAACTGAAGGTGGAATAGATATAGTGGATTTTCAGGGCCATGATGGATCTGTCACTGGTAATATTGAGGTGGACATCTGCTAAAATGCAGTTATGGTCAGAGAGGTGACTCTGAGGATGGTACTTTGCAACTGTTCATACAAATCGTTGTCTTTAAATTTAAGAGGCGTGGATTAGACAGATGAACTACTGGTATATAGGGAATTGACTGGATGGTTGCACTCAACACCTCAATATCCAATTGCAGACCAGTGATGAGTGGTGTCCTCAGGGGTTGGTATTTGGACTGGT